CTTTATTTAGATCTTAAGTATTTTATTTGGCATAGAGTATTATTTTTTCATTGTTATTCTAATTTCATGTTATGTATATACTGAATATAAGTCATTTAAATTTCACAAATGATTGAATATAAAATATCATCTAGATGTCTTATTTTTCATTGTCTTAAACAGGGGTGCTCAACACTGTTCTTGGAGATCGAGCTTTCTGCAGAGTTTAGCTCCAACTCTGTGGAAAGGTAGATCTCCAGGAACAGGGTTGAGCACCCCTGATCTAAATGCTCAAAAATGCTGTTTCCGAGGCGAGGTTGGATGTAGTTCAGAAATAGATTCATTAGAATCAATGCTTAAAGTAAACATTTAATTCTCTCTGTAGACAAAACATGCTTAGTATCCCACACGTTTTAAGAATAATAATAATAATTTATTTTGGTTACTTTTACATCTATATATGGGTAAGCAAGTATTTAATAAATAAAATTATTTTAAACCACTTGACTTAACCAAATGACTCTAGCTGCTGGGAAAAAAACATGTAAAATAACAGATTTTTTTTTACAGTGTGGGTGAACATACTACCTTGATGTCCAACAAAGGCTGCACAAGAGCTCATTTGATGGCACATATTCTGTCCTGTCAACATCTCTGACAACCTGGAAGTGCTTCGACATCAGTGAGTAATAAATCTTCATATTATCATGCATTAAGGATTTCTGTAAGCCTATTTTTAATGTTAGTTTGTAATCAGCAGTGGCTGTTTTAAAATAAAATTGGTATTTAAATTATTCTTAACATTTTACTGATGCTGTACACAGTAACGTCATGATGATTTAATTTGAGGAAATGTCACTGGTGAGGTGTAATAATATTTATTTGTCTCACTGACATGCCATCACTGCATATTGAAATACAGTTATACGAATTGACCGCAAAATATTATCACAAACATTTCATGAAGTAGACTGCTTGACTACTCTTCAGTTCTCTGCTCAACTTAAACACATTTTGTTGTGTTGCTGCGACTCTCGGCAGACTTTGCCAAAAATTAATGCTTAGTGATTACTTTGTTTTATGCGAACCAAATGTCAGTAACTTATCATTAGCATTATTTTAAAAAAATCACCTACGGCTTTCATGTTCTCTAACGCAATCTTGTCTGTAAGTTAGAAGTAGATTTTCACATGTTAAAAGCTTAAAAGTACTGGATTAACATTAGTCACGTTAAATTAGATTATTTTATTTATTTATTTATTTATTTATTTTTAATATGTAGCCTCTTAAGGTCAGAATGAACTGTGTTCACCCCTCTTAAATTCGTGGAAGCGCTAGTGTGGTCATGGAATCAGATATTCGAGCTATACAGAGTCAGACATTAAGTTAAGATGAGACTTTATTTTTTACATACCTGTGTGGACACTTGACTAGTGTTGACTTGACTGATCTTTTCCCCATTAACGTTAGTGTAATTGTAAATAGACAACAATCTGTTTTTTGCCAACAAAAACGATAAAAAACAGTGTTTTTTATATATATAAAACAGCAGTGCGGTGTTTGGTTTCTAAATGAATGAAATAATTTGAGGCATGATTAGTTTTTACTCCAGTGATTGATTTTGCTTGTCATTTTTGCAGGATCATCAGAAGTGCTCCTGCCCTTTTTCACTGTCCCTTTTCCACAACACAATTTGGCCTTCATCATTTCCTGTCTTGTAGCAGTATTTTCACCTGTTTTTAAAATTGTAATACTTTTTGATACATTAATTGTTGACTGGTTTCAATGATCAATTGTTCATTAGTGTTCTGTTGCTTTGTTATATTGAATAATTGCTACTGTTTCAGTATAGTTTACACAATAAACTTTTATTGTTAAGTTAAAAGTTCAGTTTCTTTATTTTTCTTGTATTTCTTGAACAGTTAAAATAACATTTGTGCAATTTTTGAACATTTTTGCTCATTATAAAGTAGCACTATTAAATACAATAAAATAACATTTAATAACTGTAAAATACTATACAGTAATAATGAAAGTAACGTTAAAATACCGTAGTTCTGCATGGTAAAAATGTACAGTAAAATACTGTTTTCAGTTTTGCAGTATGTGTATCACTACTGTAATTGGTGTTACAGTAAAAAAAGAAAACAGTAAAATGATGTATTACATTTGACAGTAAATGTAATACTAAAGTAATTAGTAATACAGTAATGTTACTGTTTTATGAAATACAGCAGCTACTGGATAATTGTTGCCAGTAACTTACTGTTAATTTAACAAGAAATCGTTTACAGTGTTGTTAAACAACTAAAAGCCTTTTTAAGTTGATTATTAGTGTTATTAGACAGTACATGTAAAACTATGTAAAACTTTCAATTAAAGAAGTTAACAATTACTCCAGACAGTGCTTGGTTTTTTCAACCCAAAGTTGAGTAAAATACAAACCAATTCAACTTTCGGATTATCTTTAGATTAGCATTGAGTTTGATGATATTTTCAAGCCAGTTATAAATAAAAGGGTTAACAATACTTGCAAATACCCAATCTAAACAAACCTAGCTCAATCAAAACAATATGAACTAAGAAAGTATAATTCCTTATTTTGAGTCTAACAGAGGCATATTAATAGCTCACTGAATTTTAACTTGGAAAATTTAACAAAATACTATATAATATTAATAATGATAATAATTAAATAATGTTTTTAAGTAACTTTCAACTTATTTAATTGATTTAAATCATAGCAACTAGATGTTTATTACTTTTCTATATCACTATGCTTTATTTACACAGCAGGTGTCAGTTTTTGTGCAGTTTTGCTATTTTTTTAAGCACACCACTTCTAAATAAATGAGGTAAAAGAAACAGTTATTAGACAAAATCTTGCCATGTTACTTTTAACAAATCATAGATAACAACCTCACAGATACTAAAGAGCACAGATAAATTGAAGCCACAGATCATCAAAATACAAGAGGTACAACAGTGAATTGCTTAATTTCTTTTTTTGAAAGCAATTCTGAAATTCGAAAGAACTATAAGAGCTCAAGACCTTAAATATTTTCACACACCTTATCTTCCAAGGACATCCAACATTAAAGATGTTGTTTATGTGTAAAGAATGGCCTTTGACTGGACACAAAATCAATTGAATTGGCACATTCTCTTTTTTTTTTTTTTAATCTTTTAACAAATATGCAAAAATAGCTAAATAATATCACACAATTGTTTAAAATGTTGACACTACAAATGTATCGTAGTGTTTAAAAAAGACAACTTTTGTCAGATGTAGAACTATTGAACTATTCTTTTTTGTGATTTTAACATTTACTGCTACTAAACTTCAAAGTGCATTATCATTGCAAGTTTCATTATATATATTTTCAAGGTTTCAATTTTTTTTTCAAGTTTTCTCAGTAAAGAAATGTATATTAACTTTCTAATAAAAAAACAATGTCAACATCAAGTGCATTTAATATATGTCAATAATTAAGAGAAGACTCATTAAAAAATTCTTAAGACTCAAATAATAGTCACATTACTTTCATGAGAAATAAAATATATTTTATAATCACTATGAGATACGCTGTTATCATCAACAGAACCACAATATGCTTCATCAATACTTATATTTTCATTTTGCTCTCTTTTTGAATTTATTGATTCATGTTACAGCAGAGCTCTCCATACTAAAAATAGATAAATAAGTTATATACATATAAAACAATATTAAATTTACATTTCATATTGGACACCTTAGTTCCAAAAACAACGAGTAAACACTTGTCCATATCAAATATTGAATTCAGTTCAGCACAATTCCTCTAGTGTGACTTTGGTTGTACAATTTGATCACTCACTGTTGGTAAAAAAAATACTTCCTGTATCTTTTTCTGTAACACCGGGGTTGAATTAATCTTGCACTAAAAGAGCTTGCACACGCTTGGACTGTATCAAAAATGGGATTACTATCATGGTTCATTATACTGATAAATCTGTCCAGCATTCGATCATGTGCAATCTCTTCTATGGGATGGTAGTGCACACCCCACAACAGAATCTGCCTTTTTTATAAGCTTATTTAATTTGTTTTTCTCCTCCTCCAACAGTCCCCCTCCCCAGAAGGTTACAGCATACAAAATCATAAAAAAGTTTTTAACAGTGTCTGACACACTAAAGGACCTAAGTCGTCTTAATAAATGAATGCGACTCTGACCCTTCTTATACACCTGAACTGTATTTTCAGACCAAGCGAGCTTGTTGTTCAAATATACACCCTGGCACCTATATGATGAAACAATCTCAATTTCTGATTTTCATGTATAATTTCATGTATAATTATTGGCACTGCTTGTGATGGATGTCTAATCAACAATAATTTTCTTGGTCTTATTAGTGTTTAATTTAAGACAATTTGTTTCACACCAGTCAGCAAACTTTTTAAAAACAACCTACTAACTCTCATCATGATTCCTTATGTAACCCACAATTGCAGAGTCATCAGAAAACTTCAGTAAATGGCAATTTTTGAAGCTGTTTTGAAAGTCTGGCGTATAGAATGTAAATAAATATGGAGCGAAAACTGTTTCTTGAGGAACACCAGTATTGCTTGTGTTGCTTTAAAAAGTATGCAAGTGAACGCTTTAATCCAAAGCAACTGCAATTGCATTCAATGCATCTGAGAGAATCGTCTTAGTGCCCAAAAACAAACTGTTCTAGTTTAAAGCAAATCTAACCAGCTCCCTCTTTTTTGATTTGTCCAATACAGCAAATATAAAAAAGTAATATGCAACACTTTGTTTTTGCTTGCATAAGTCCACTATTTACTCTTAATGTTTAATGCTTAATGTTAATCTTTATGCAAAACTGACTTAATATCAGTTATTATGCAACCATTGATTTCTTTCTTCCAGTGTACGTTTTACATTGAGTATTTCATTCTGGTTATATGAAGACATTTATTTGTTTCAGCAAACCTTACAGACAAACAAAAGTGTATTTTTAATAACATATTACAGTACTGCGTTTATAAACATATTTAATAAAGTAGTGTTTCTAACATGGTGTAAAATCCAGTTTTCACAGCAAATGAATTCAGCAGTAAATAATAAAACAGAACTCACACATCGGATATTTACTGGAACCAGTTTTCAAGTTTAACATAGCTTAATCATCACAATATTCAGTACTTTATTTCTTGCTTTGAAGCCATCTAGCTTTAGTCAAAGTTGTTTTGTCAGTGATAAGACATTAATAAATTAAACCACACCTGTAACGATAACAATTAATGAGAACAATAAAGAAAGTAAAATAGTGGAAATTATCACAATGTATATAATGACAGTTGCTGGACTGGTCCTAGATCTGTTGCAGTTTGAATAGGGGATAAAAGATGCAACATCTTTGCTGTTAAATTCTCTTTGTGGTGGGGCTTTGGCTGGGCTTCGGTTTGTGGACTTCTCATCTGCATACAACGTTTTACAACCTGTTATTTTAGGGCAAACACTTATAAGTCAGTTTAGCAACAATGATTAGAATTAATAGGCTTTTGTCAGACATTAACTTTTCATTTTGTTCACTACAATCTCCTATACAATTAAGACATTTTAGCCCTCCTGTGAAATGAATTCTTTTTCAAATATTTCCCAAGTTACGTTCAACCGAGCAAGGGAATTTCCCCTGTATTTCCTATTACATTTTTCTTCTGGAGAAAATCTTATTTCTATTCAATTGGCTGCATGGGGAAAAAAAAACATGCTGAGGTTAGTGTTGAAATTCTTGTTCGAATTGTTGAAAGAAGTTATTTGCAATTTAAACTGAATACAAGTTTCTTAGTAGTGTTCAAAATAGCCATTAAAATATTACTGGCGAAGACAAAAGAAATTAGTTATTAAAACTATTGTTGAAAATGTTTTTATGTACTAAGTCAGCACTTGAGAAATATATATGAAGAAAACTCACAGGAAAGCAAATTATTTTCACAAACGAAAATCGCAGCTATTCTGTGACCAAGCTTTCACATTCAGACCAGAAATAGGGTTCAAGTTTGTACAATTGTATTCTGTAGTGTAAAAGTAGTATCTAGATCTTGTGTACAATAATTTTAGTAAGAAAAAAACTTCTGCTTTGGTTTTTCTTTTGGCTAACATATGACTCTTCATTAGCATCAGCATCCTGAAAACTTTTAATATTTATTTTGGTCAGCTTGTTTGAACTGGCACATTTAAAGTAGTTTTTGTAAACTTTCATCTAGATAAATTTCACCTTCACCATCAAGCACTTTCCTGACATGTCAACATTAAAAACATAAACAGTTTGCGTTTCCACGAATTTGTTTTTTCTCTGTTGCCATCAATTTCTTTTGACTAACTGCTTTATCATCCTTCTGGTGATCATTTTTATAAAGTTTCTCACTTACCATCCTTTCAGAATAAGGATGGGCATGCGTTTTGTTCATTCCAGGCATGGCCTTATGGGTCCTTACCCTTTCCTGCTCACCTTCTTTAGAAGTTTCCTTTTGCAGAATCTTCTTTGGGCCCCAGACAAATTCTTCTTGAGGTCTGAAATGCTTATAAGCATATCCAACCAGCTCTCTCCTCTTTGATTTGTTCAAGACCGCAAACATAAAGTAATCTAGTACACTTTGTTTCACATTTGATAGTTCTGCATTCACAAGAGTCTCACGGAGGAAGAACTTGACGAGCGGGGCCTGATAGTGCTCCAATCCTAGAGTTCCCAAACACTTCAGGATCCGTGTAATGCGCAGGTTATTGTGTGTATACCTGCAAATATCAAAGAAAGATACTGTACTTTGACCACTGGAAATGCTTAAAGGCATTAAAAAAATGATATGAAATTTTATGAAACAACATGAAGATGATAGTACCTGTTCAAGTTTTTAAATCGTTGCCTCCAGTTTGGAGCACGTCTCACCTCTCCTGTGTGTATATTGATCAAACATATACCATAGAAATCCAACATGACTTCATATGATTTCACCAAGTTACGCAGTGCTTGTTTATCTCTACGGAAAAGCTGTAAAATAACAGATGGGAAAAATATAAACTTATAAATGTTTCCTTTAAAATACATAAAAAAATTTATATATACACCATGTAAATGATGTTTTAAACTAACCTTTATTTCCTTTTTTGTGAGCACATGTGACCACCTGTTCAACCCTTGCTCCTGTATAGGAAACAACCTATAAAATTTCGATATATGGCCATTAATGTTCATTCATATGTTCTAATGCTTATGAGTTGACAAGTTTTAGTAACGACATCATGTGCAGTCAAGTCCCTTACATTTGGCTTTGTACCTTTTGATAAATTACAAAATGAATCCATTGACCTATGTGTAATAAAATATATAATGGTATATAACTATCTATTTATATATATATATATATATATATATATATATATATATATATATATATATATATATATATATATATATGTTTAGAAATGTGCTGACACAATCTTCCCTCCGTTAAACAGAAATTAGGGGAAAAAAATAAACAGGGGCGTTAAAAATTTCAGGGGGGCTAATAATTCTGACTTCGACTATATATATATATATATATATATATATATATAGATAGAGAGAGAGAGAGAGAGAGAGAGAGATATTAGTGCTGTCAAACGATTAAAAAAGATTAACTAATTAATCGCACTTTAAAAAAAAAAAAAACGCTATTTATCGCGATTAATCACATTTAAAACACTAAAACTTGTAATTTTGGCTATTCAAATGTAAAATTAATGTAAATGCAAAACAAATACTATTTAAATTCAAAATATAATTCATTATTAGAATTTTTGTTTAACTTGTAACAGATTTCTTCATGTAAACAACATACCCACAATAAACCATCAAGATCCTGGCTTGACAGCCATATTTATTACAGAAATAAAAGCACAGGCATGTTAATGCCATTTGAATTTCAAAACAAGCAATGCCAATAAAGAAAACATCGATTTCCATGTTGTATTCTAAGTGGACTGCAAAAAAATGCCAAAATAGAGGCATTACAGATATGGAAATTTGAAAAATTATTCATTCATTCATTCATTTTCTTGTCAGCTTAGTCCCTTTATTAATCCGGGGTCGCCACAGCGGATTCTACCGCCAACTTATCCAGTAAGTTTTTATGCAGCGGATGCCCTTCCAGCCGCAACCCATCTCTGGGAAAAAGCCACACACACATTCACACTCACACACTCATACACTACGGACAATTTAGCCTATACAATTCACCTGTACCACATGTCTTTGAACTGTGGGGGAAACTGGAGCACCCGGAGGAAACCCACGCGTAGGCAGGGAGAACATGCAAACTCCACACAGAAACGCCAACTGAGCCGAGGTTCCAACCAGCGACCCAGCGACCTTCTTGCTGTGAGGCGACAGCACTACCTACTGCGCCACTGCCTCGCCTGAAAAATTATAATAATAATAATAAAGTATTGAATACAAACAATTGTACTAATTGCAGGGCTGGACTAGGACAAAATAATCGGCCCTGGCATTTTGGGCCAGAGCGGCCCACTACATCAATCAAAATGCTCCCCCATCACCCCACGCCCTTTAATATGTTTACCAACTCCCATTCTATAAACGCACAAAAGCCATATATAGGAAATAACCAGAGTTGACAAATTAAAAACCTATTTTTTTTATTATTATAATAAAATTATAATCCACACTGGAAATGTGGGTGCCTGTGTGTTTTGAGGGAGCCTAATAAATAATGAACATGACAAAAACTGCCTGCTGACGCACACAGTTAATTTTAATTAATAAAATAAAGATAAATAATAAAAGAAATGTATCAGAGACCCTTAAAAAAGTTTAACTCAACAATGAAACATCAAATGTAGCTAAAAGATTTTACATTGTCAATCAAATTAACTTAAACAATTGAAAAATGCAACAAATATTTGTTTCTGCCCGAACCACAAAAGTTGCACACTAGTTTGGTCAAGTATAAATACCATTATAACCATATTGTATAAATATTATTTTCACTATAAGCCTACATCATGCTGACAATAAAAAACACAATGTCATGATAACTTTTGCGATTGTCTTCTGATCGAGTGCATTTTAAAATACATGATTGACACTCCTCATAGAGCCTGAGAAGCAAACATTCTTTATCATTTGTAAAATAAAGACTTGCAGGTTAAGAAAACAGCATAGGAGAAAGTTGCCGCGGGCCGTAGTGCAGATTAAAAGAAAAAAAAAGTATATTTATATGGACAGATAGGTAATTAGATAGAATAGACAGGAATATATCTGTGCTCCGCTGCAAGCTGCAGAGTGCTGACGCAAAAGCATGCTCTTCCGCAGACCGGCGCATAAGAAACAGGTGTGACTCTTGACGATTCTGACAAATACACACCTGCGTTACACAGAGCCCAACATGGAAGTTTGTGATTGGGTCAGCCCAATGTCAATAAAGAAAAGAACCAATGGGCTGCAGATTGTGTCACATGGCCGATCTGTCCGGAAAAGAAACATCTTACTTTCAAAGCGTGCCAGCTCACAGGAGCGTGACAGCTCATCAATCACTGTGGCAGAAAAACATGACAGCCTGCTAAGTGTTTTATGGGCCGATCAGATCATAAGAAGATGATCAGCCCTGCCCAAAAAGTACATCGACCCAACGGGAAAGTGCCCGGTCTGCCCGTGGCTGCAACAGGAAAAAAAAACTGCAACTGCGTTAATTTTTTTAACGCGTTAATTATTTCAAAATAATCGCATGCGTTAACGTGTTAATTTTGACAGCACTAATAATATATATATATATATATGTATATATATATATATATATATATATATATATATATATATATATATAAAATCTCTGGAATCATGTGATTCCATCATGTGTCTCAATTAATCACCCATTTTTATGTGTTGAACTCGTAAACACAATCTATGCAACATGACTTTAACGCACTATAAAACTATGGTAGCCGAGAGAATTCAAGCAAAATCACATGCAAATAGAGAAACATTAACAAATTGAGAAAACGTCTTTCACAATCCAACAACACATGCAAATTCTCACAACACACGAAAACACAGAAATGTGCTGCAATTGCCACAGACTGGGAAATCCCAAAAAGTGATGAACCAGACTGTTTCCTGTTTAGAGCTGATGGTGTTGTCATAGATCTGAGAGTTGAGCTTTTGTATATTTTAACATTCTTTCTGGTCATTCAGTTCCTTGTTAGTATATTTTTAATTATATTTTTAGTATATTTTTCTGAGACTAACTCTTGCTAACTTAGCATTAAATAATGGTTAATTGTATTAGATTATTAGGGATGAAATATACAAACAAAAAGGAAACATACAACAAGGATGTTGAAATAAGAAAAAGGCTCACTTCTAAGATCTCCAGCAAAATCACTGGTTGTAAAACAGAAAGCTGCCATGTTTTCACTTTTAGGGGTCTACCCCACACATTTCTGTTTTTGTTTGCATTACCTGCAACACATTTCTCTATTTTGCATGCATTGTGAGAATTATGCATTTACATTTTGTCCAACTGTTGAAGATGTTTTTTTTTTTAGTTTGTAAGTAATTTTTTATTTGCATGTTTTTTCTTAACTTACAGCATGTTTAAGCTCTCTCAGCCACAGTATAAAATACTTACATACATTAAATACAAATAAATTCAATATTTTAACATAGGCTCATTGATGAAATGTAACAGTATCTAACCATTGAATGTAGGAGTGAACTTCCTCCAGCCAACCATATTGACCCCACCAATGCTTGTGAAATTCATCAATGTGAATATCTGCAGAATCAAATGTAATATCTTAAAGAACATCCTTTCTTAGAGTTAAACAAGCATTGAATCTATAAAAATGTATTGTGTGATTATGCAACAGTATTAGGAAGAACACAATGTCATACTGTCAGGTGAAGATCTTATTCGACCTTGGTAAAACTCCAGGTTATAGAAGAAGTCCTTGAAGAAAATAACATCAAAACACTAAACCACACCATTCCCAGACATTTTCTTAAGATCAAAACTAGTGAGTTATAAAAATAGTTTTTAAATAAATGATACTCTATTTAATATATACTAGTGAAGACAAAGTTTAGATAGACAAATAGTGAAGAAATGGGTAATGATAACACTTACACGAACAGGCTCTTCATCGTCATAATCAAGGAACTAGAGTTAAAAAACAGGCAAAATGTTTTCATGTAAGACTAAGTTTTGACATTATTACAGCAGATTCTGACATTTACTGTCCTGTAATTTAGATACTGACCAATGTTTTTTTTTTCTTTACACACTGCTAATGAATGAAGAGAGTTGGGTAAGATAAATCTCTTACCCCAATCTTAATTAATATTTAATGATAAACAAATTTACCTGGCAACTATGCCGAAAGTCTTGCATGTCCTTAGCAGCATACATGTTCCTGCGACTTCGTCTGTACATCTGTAAGCACATACAGAAATGCCAAATATGTCAGCTGTTAACAAAAATCCATAGAAATAAAAAATGGTAAAACATTAGGCCTATATGTTTAATATTAATATTAAAATAATAGTAATAATTTGTTGTTGACAAGATCACGGAACATTTACAGTGCACATAATATATAAAACATTGCACTTTATAAACCGCTTAGGCCTACTTTAAATGTAATCCACAGTACAGACCAAAAAGTTTAAGATGTACACAAATAAAGGAAAAAGAAGAGTTTTAGATCACGTGATATGTTATTATTTGGTAAGGTAGGTTGTAATTTTTACAGTGCAGACCTAGGAAGCTACTTCATGTAAGCAAAAGAGAGAAAATACATTAAAATAAAACGCCAAATGACTAAAATGAAGGATGTTACTACTGTGTACATATTTCACAATTATTGTACACAACACAACGTAACACATACAGGAAATTGTTTCTTAAAGAAAAAAATAATACAAGATTGAATGTGTTTGAGGGTTCAGAAATTTAAAACAAATACAAGACGACACAACTGTCCAATTATAAAACATATAGGCTACATACATACCTTCTTCCTCGGTGTTTTATTTTGGTGTTCATCCTCCCATGTGGAGTCGAATTCGCACTCATCTGACTCCATGTCATGTATATGGTAGTAGCTACGTTGCAAACTTAAGTAGGCTAAATACTAAAACATTTAGACATAAGGACTAAAACTGTAAAGTACTCAAACTTCCCACTGTCAAGGGAAAGGTGAACCGAAAGAATTTCTTCAGTTACAAGACTGACAAGTCGTGCTAACTACTGGGGTTGCCAGATCTTGTAAAAATGCACACATTTCTGCTATCTACTGATCCAATTGAACAATCTTAGCTTACCCCAAAAATAGCATAATCGTGTTTGATGTATTTTAATTTTAGTAATCAATAAAAAGTAAAGTAAAACAAGATTAAGGAATGGCGACCCCGGATTAATAAAGGGACTAAGCCGACAAGAAAAAGAATGAATGATTGATGATTAAGCAAACAGTTTTGGATCATTATAAGAAAAAGTGAGTTTACCAACATTCAATGTTTATGTTTTATAGATTGCTTATTTATTGCATTTTCATCATACAAAAACGGAAACAATCTTACGAAGTGACAAGCAATCATTATAAAGTAAGGTGTGTATAATGTGCAGTATGTTGTGTGGCAGCATTCGACAATGATAATGTGTAGACATACAGTATGTGGTTCAGTAGTATATACGTTATTAAAACTAAAACAACATAGTTTCAAGATACACGCAGAATAACTATTGCACAGCATTTTTACAAAGTATACATTCCATTGTACACTAGCTTCTAATTGTATTTAAAAAAAATTATTAGAATGATAAAAACACAGAACTCACAAATCTAGCATTTACAAAAGCTAATTTTTTTTAAACAATCAGTCATAAGTACAAACTGTTTCCTCAGTGAAGACACCACATACTGTGCATTAACCTACAATCCTTTTTTTAAATGTATATTGCACTCACCAAAATGAAGGAAAAAGTATGAAAAATAAAATTTGCAACTTATTACACTTTAAATTCATAATTAGAGTTCCTAGAAAGTTTTGTAACATAGTTTTGGAGAGCAAACTCATTTGACTAACAGAGTCATTTCTAAGCACCCTTTACGGAGATCATTTCACTGACTTTAATCCCCATGAGACATTTCAATACCATCATCATTATTTTCCTCATCCCCAACACTCATCTCCTGATTTTTTACAGTCTCCTCTTTTGAGCTGCATTGTGCTCCCTGATCACTTTTAATGTTTTCTTTAGTCAGCTCATTAGCACTTATTGAGGTATCACTTGTATCAGTTTTCTTATTTAGATCATCATCAAAATTGATGGTTCCTATATTAATTTCAACTTCAACACTCGTACCTTGACTTTGCTTTTCTGCCTTTTTGTTTTTTGACCTGCACTGACTTTTTTCATTCGCCCTCTGAACACTTGTAATATTGTTTTCCTTCAATTTGTTAGAAAGAACTTTTTTATTACCTTGCTGGTGATCATTTTTACAAGGGTTGTCAATTCCAATGCCTTCAGGTCGAGGGCCAGTATGCGTTTTGTTCATTTCACAAGTCTCACCTTCTTCCCTTTGTTTTGTCTCTCTTAATTTTTTCTCTGTTGCCATAAATTTGTCAAGACTAACTGCTTTATCATCTTTCTGATGATCATTTTTATGAGGTTTCTTACTTTTCATACTTATAGGAGGAGGACAGGCCTGTATTTTTTTCACTCCAGGCATGATCTTATGGGTCCTCACCCTTTCCTGCTCATCTTCTTTTGAAGTTTCCATTTGCAGAATCTTCTTTGGGCCCCAGACAAACTCTTCTTTAGGTCTGAAATGCTCATAAGCATATCTAACCAACTCTCTCCTCTTTGACTTGTCTAATACCGCAAACAAAAAGTAATCTAGTACAGCTCGTTTCACACTTGGAAGTTCTCCCATAACTAGAGTCTCATGGAGGAAGAACTTGACCAGCGGAGCCTGAAAGTGCTCCAATCCTAAAGTCCCCAAACACTTCAGGATGCGTGTGATGCGCAGGTTATTGAGTGTATGTCTGCACAAAAAGAAAACATGAATTTTATCACTGAAAATACTTAGAAGCACTAAAACTATATAAAATTGAATTGCAGTCTGTAAACTGACAGTGAATGACAGTATATAAACCTGTTTATGTGGTCAAAGCGTTGCTTCCAGTTCTTGGCACGCTCCACCTCTCCTGTATCTTTATTGACCAAACGAATACCATAGAAATCCAACATTATTTCATATGATTTAACCAACTTACTCTGTGCTTGTTTATCTCTACGGAAATTCTGAAAGAAAAAAAAATAGTTTAAACATGAAACTTTTAAAATGAGACACAAATACTCTGCGCATTGTAAACTGACCTTGATTTCTTTTTTTGTGAGCACATGTGCCCTACTGTTCACCCCTGGCACTTGTAATGGAAATAACCTGTAAAATATTAATATTGTCAATAATGGCTGTTAACAAGATCTAAAACATGTACAGTATAAATAATAGTTAAACATCAAACTTAAAAATGAACTGTAACAGGATCTAACCACTGAATGTAGGTGTGAACATTTTCCAGCTGATTATATTGACCAAACCACTGCTTGTGAAAATCATCAATGTGAATATCTGCACAAACAAGGCTTATATGTTAAATAACAGTTTCTTTAATTTAACTGCTTTGCATTAATAAAAATAAACTATATGGTTTGACTAAATATAAAAATTACAATACCATACCATTAGGAGAAGATCTAATTTGACCTCTGTAAAACTCCAGGTTATAGAAGCGGCCCTTGCAGACAAGAATAAAAAAACATCCAACATCATTTCTTATGCATCTCATCCAAATCAAGACTACTCAGTTGGGTGGAAAAACTGTTTTCTGTAAATGATACACTAAACACAAAACTCTGACAACTAGCAAGAATTGGTAAATTGTAGATGACAGGTCATAAAATGCTTACTGATGCTGGTTCATCATCACCATGATCCAAGTTCTAGAGTTAAAATAAAGCCAAAATTATTATGTAATACATCTTGACAAAGAATATTCTTTTGGCATTTATGTTTGTATAATTTAGATATTAACATATATATATATATTATATATATATATATATATATATATATATATATATATATATATATATATATATATATATATATATATATATATATATATTATTCCCCCCTAACATACACAGTGCCATACAGGAATATTAGGTGAGTTAGGTTCATCAGTATTTTGGAAAGATGTGCCACTTTCCTAATTCCTTATTTAATATATGAAGTAGGCTAGTTTTGATGCTATGATATTCTTATTTTCTTTATTAGAAGATACATAAATTAAGAAGTGAGACATTTTACCTTATCCCTAAACCTAATGTACAGGTAATAAAACTCACCTGGCAACTATGCCGAAAGTCTTGCATGTCCTTGGCAGCACGCATGTTCCTGCGACTCTTCTTTAGAAGTGTAAACAAAAATAATCCCAAATGAGCATATAATAATTATAATAATAATATTACTATAACTCATACAAATAGAAATCAGGAAGAATTAGCATAAACAGGAGCTACTGGTTTTTGGAAGTGATATACTTTATTCATATTGGACCTACAGGAAAATATTTGTAAGAATAATGAAAACATAATAACATGGCACTGAATTCCAAACCTACCTTCTTGCTGGGTGTTTTATTTTCGTGTTCATCTTCCCATGTGGAGTCCAGTTCGCACTCACCATCCGAGTCTTGACTTAACTCCATTTCAAAAGTAGTATCGTTTGTAGGACTAGCTTGGTAACTCAGTAAACCTCTAATAAACTGCCATATAGCAGACATAAGAACTCAGACTTGTTGAAGTCCTCGACCTTCTCGCTGGCTAGTGAAAATTTAAGATGAAAATCATGGTGAAGCGAAAGTATTTCTGATACAGAAGTCAACAAAAACATCAGCTGGGTCAAGGGTTGCCAGGTATTTCAATAGTCATATTTTTGCTGGTAATACGTTAAAAACAATCTTACAAAGAATATTCGATTTATCTTTATAAAACAGAGTAGCAAACGGTTGGGTGGTCTGTATTTGATTCTAATAACATAAAACATCAAATTAAAGTTTTAGGAAATATTGCTTAAAATTATGCCTCATTTAACAAATGACCCATAACTGCTATTTATACCGGCCTACCGTTGAATATGCATATTGTGCATTGTTTTTAGTGTGCTATGATGTAATAGCACATTCAATATAATCTAAAGTAATTTATTTTAAAAAACCTTTATATTTTGTAGATATCAGTGATGTGACAGAAAACATAGAAATATGTTCAATGCTTACAAGCACAGTGATATACAAAACACATCATTCAGTGATATGACATTTATTTGGTCACCAGCAAAAACCCAAAACAAAACTGCATCGTTTTACAAACTTCAACAGGTTCATCCATTACAAAAGAAAGCATACAAATCTAACAATTATTGGAGCCAGTTTTCAAAGTGTGATCTTGCTTTATCAATACAATTTTTATTTGCATCAAACATCACTTGGTTAATCAGAACTTCATTTCTTATTAAACAATCAAGTTCAAGACAAACTTATTAGAACACTTCACAAAAAATAAAACAAAAATAATAATAACATTACATTTGTTACAGTGCAAATTTAGCTTTTGCATGCTATTTTTAATCTCCGTTAGTCAATCTGTTAAATAAACAAAACAAAGCAATGCATCTCAAAGAGTTGAATTTGAGCCCAGGCATACAGGCGTTTCAATATATTTCATGTAATTTAATTTTGGGGAACAACCAAAAAAAAAAAAAAACATTAAAGGCCTTGATACTTTCTGTTGTCAGTTTCCTTTTTTTCCATGTCAGACAAGTACACCCTTCATGGACAAACTTTCACTACTCATCACCAACACCATCAGCACTCATCTCTTGATTTTGGTCTTGTACAGTTTCATTTTCTGAGTTGCACTGACTGTTTTCATTTTTTGATCCCTGCTCATGTTCTGCTGACATTTCTTTAGTATACGCTGTATTATTTAGATTACTTTCATCTTCACCATTTGTCTCAACATTTGACCTCTTATCCTGACTATTAGTTTGTTCGGTCAACTTGTATGGACTCCCTGGCCTCTCTTTTTCAGCATTGTTACCATTATCACCATGAGACATGCCATCTTCTTTCATTTCAACTTCAGGGTTGTCTAGCATGTCATTTTCATTAGTTTTCCTAATTTCAGCTAGATTACTTTCATCAGAATTACCATTAGGTTTATTTTGTGGTGTCATGTGGACTTCATTATTACCATCACCACAACTCTTTTGGTTTTGCTCTTTTACACATTCATTGCCTAAGCTGTACAGACTGTTCTTATCATTTGACTCACTCTCTTCATTCATCTTCTCTGGACTATCTGGCCAGTTCTTTTCATTAGTTTCCTCACTTTCAACGTGAT